ACTCCACTAATCTAATCGAATCCACTAATCTAATTTCAATTTCTTCTGACAGCTGTTCGTTAATACGTTCGTCCTTGCTCGCTGTTTTTAGTATAAATTTGATATTGATTCTGAGGTCGTTGTAGTAAATCCTGAGGTCATTGTAGTCAATCCTGAGTGGTTGTTCTTTGATTTTAGGACATTAATTAAATTGTATTATGTCGTACTTTATCGGAATCTTTATTATAAGTCAATAAAACATGAGAATATATTTCAATTGACGATCCAGGGATCTTTATATCAGTATATTAAGTGAAAAACGAGCTGACGAACGTTCCTAGGCCTTTGCGAAAACCAAATTGGGTATCATTAACGTCGATGTCCAGTTTGTGATATATTAACTTTATGGTCTCTTTCTGTGTCATTGACCTACGTGCCTGATATATTAGAGTTTTCCCCAAAAATTTGGGATTTCTTGCATGGTCTTAGAGAGATTTTTCATTGGGATCCCAGCTGTTAAATGTTCTTTAGATAGTTCTTCAGAATGACATCAGTAGGTATTGTCTTTATACCGTAGGTATTTTAGAAATATCATAGTCAATGAACAAGGACAAAACTAGATATATAGAGGGACTGTTTGATGATTAAAGAACAGAAATACAAAATCGAAAATATATCTACTGGTCTAATCATAACCTTCAATTAAATGGAAAGAGCTATACAACTATCAAAGAATAGGAAAGCAACCGATTCAGATGAAATTACCAGCGAAATTATCAAACTACTCGCCGATAAAGGCAAACATTCTCTTTTAAACCTCTTTCAATAAAAGATACGAATATAGGGTACGTACCAACAGACTGGATGGCTACTATCAACATTTGTAATGATACCGAAAAAAAATAACGCTAAACAATGTAGCGATCATCGCACTATCAGTATAATGTACTGAAAATTTTCTTAAAAATACTACACTCGAGAACTTACAACAAAATAAAAGTACAACTAAGCGAAACACAGTTTGGTTACAGAAACAACCTTGGAATCAGAGAAGCATTATTCAGTTATAAGGATATATATGTGTTTTATCGACTTCGAAAAGGCCTATGACTGGCTCACCACTACAAACTGATAGGTATCTTGAAACGAGTGAAAAATTGATGACCAAGACCTCCGTATTAACAAAAATTTGTATTGACATCAATGTGCAAACATACGAACTAAGAATACCACGGAAGCAGTGGAAATACGACGTGAAGTGAGACAGAGGTGTATTTTATCGCTTGTACTTTTTAATATCTACACACCAGTTTATTTTCAAGGAGGCCTTAGAAAAAATGCAGGCTTAAAATCAACTGGATTTATTGTCAACAATTCTCAGAAACGCATACGGCACGGTACTGATTGCATCCAATGAAAGAGTTGCAACTACTTATAAACAGGGTGAAATAATGCCGAAAGAATGGTGTGGTTAGTATTATTGTACCAATACACAAAAAGGAAAAAAGGAATCATGCATGAAATTACAGAGGAATTCACTAATCAACACTACATATAAAATATTGGCTTCGATATTATAAAAAGATTAGAACCATACGCCGAAGAAATAGTTTGTGACTACCAGTGTGGTTTTCAGGCCTGGCAGATCGACCATTGATCAAATATTTACAATAAGACAAATGCTTGAAAAGTATTGGGAATATAATCACGACGTGCCAATCAGAGTTTTATAGACTTCAAACAGACTTATGATTCAATTAATCGTGCAACATTATGGAGGCAGTGAATCGAGCTCGGCGTACCCAAGAAACTAGCTGCAGGTAACACAAATGTGTGTAAGTAACTCTTTTGCACAAGTTAGAGAATAGGGGGAAAAAATTATCAAATGCTTTCTGCGTAAATTCTGACTGAGACAGGGATATCCGTTGTTCCCATTGTTGTTTAACTGGCCTTAGAAATGTCATGCGAAAATTATCAAAATCAAACCAGACATTGCCGGAGTAAAATCTACTCACGCTTTGCCGATGACGTAGACGCAGTAGCACAATCAACATTAGAAATTAAAGATATTTTCTCGAGCTTTGAAGAAGCTGCATTAAACATCGGTCTAAAAAATAAATGAAGACAAAACAAAATACATGGTCGTCTCAAAACAAGAACGACGGCGAATAAGGCAAAACATTACTATAATTATCACAATTATAAGTGAAAAGATATTTAAATATCTAGGAGCGCAACAATCACAAATGACCACAAATTAGAGCGAGAAGTTGAAACGAGAATAATGGCAGGAAACAGATCTTTCTTTGCAATGTAACATCTAATGAAGTCAAAACTTCTTTCACGAGGTACAAAAATCGTGTTATATAAGACCATAATACGACCAGCAGTCACCTATGGAAGCGAAACATGGATGCTAACAAAAAGAGAAGTAAATAAATTGCTGGTGTGGAACAGAAAATTCTTCGAATGATATTGGCCTTGCAGACACTGACAACGATGGAGGCAGATCCATACGAGCTAGGTCTC